GCTTTTAAATTTAACTCCTAGCTCTTCATATTCCCTTAGCAGAACCTCTGTCCTAGTTTTATCTGTGTCATTGGTACCTATGTGGACCACGACAACTGGATCTTTACCTTCCCACTGCAGGTTCCATTGCAGCCCAGATGAGATACCTTGAACCCAAGCATTAGGTAGACAACACAATTGTTGGGACTCTCGATGCTGGTCACTGAGAACGGTGTCTATGCCCCTAACTATACCATTCCCAATTACAACTGCCTTTCTCTTCTCTTCCTGCACCCGGCACATCCTCCCTTCAGTCCCCATTCCTGTCCACACAGGGAGCAAGACTCTTGAACCTGTTGGACAAGGACAAGGGCAAGGGCTGAGGCTCCTGCAACTCTATCCTCTGGATCCCTTTACCTGCCTCACTCTCAGCCACACCCTCCTGTCCCTGACCACTGGCTGAATTCAAGTTAGTTAGTCTAAGGGGTGTGACTGTCTCCTGAAACACAGCATCCAGGTACCTCTTCCCCCTTCCTGATGTGTGGCAACGTCCGAAGCTCCGATTCCACTTCTTCAACTCTGAGTTCCTAACGTGGTCACTGGAATCCCACATCATTCAGGAACAGCACATCACCTGACCCTCCATTCTTACTTTAGTTTTGAATTTGGTTTATCTAAATTTTTGAACTTTTTTTTACATCTCTCCTTATTATCTCAACCTGAATGCAGGTTACAACCAATGATTTAACAAGATTCAATTTAATGCAGATTCATATTTAGCAGATTCCCTATTAGCCAATCAAATCACAGCCTTCCTCTTTCCGATCCCCCCACTCCCCGTCAGAATCAGAAGCTCTTAGCTTCTCGGTCTGCTCCCGCTCAGCTGTGCTGGAGATTGGAAAAAGACTGCAAACTGTACTTCTGCATAAATCATAAAAAGCTAGCATCGAGTTCAATGGGTAATCAGGAAGGCAAATAGATCTTGTTTTGATACACCAATCCAGTTAAAATAGAGGTCTAGCTAAAACTAGACAAGGCAAAAGTCAAACCACAGCTAGAATAACTCTGAATAGTTTTGGGCTTCTTAACTAAGGAAAGATATTTTAGTATTGGAGAGAGTCAAAAGAGTATACATGGGGCTGATACCAGGTTTAGAGGAGGCCTTATGTTGAGGTGTTGAATAGTTTGGGCTTATGCACATTTGTGTTTAGATGAATAAGAGACGACTTTATTGAAACACAAGATTTTTGAGAGACTTGACAGGGTTGTGGGGAAAGACTGTTTCCCCTGTGAGAGAGTAGAGGACCAGAGATTAAAATCTCACAATACATGTTTGTCCATCTAAGGCAGAGGTAAGGAAGAACTTCTGAGCATCATGAATCCGTGGCATTGTTTAGCACAGAGGTCTGTCAAGACTGGGCCATTGAATAAATTCAGGGCTGAGATTTTTTAATCAGTATGTGAATCGAGGATTTTGGGGATAAGGTAACAAAGTGTAGTTAAGAATGATCAGATCAGCCATGATCTCATTGGTAGAACAGACTTGATAGACCAAATGGCTGCCTTCTGTCACATTTCATGGACTTCTGGTCTTAAATTTAGCTATTATATCTTTGGTCATTATTTTCTATAAAAAAGGTTAAGTCCTTGCATTGATCGCTGTTGGACACCACTTGTTACATCTTGATAACTAGAAAAAGACCCATTTATTCTTACTGTTTCCTGCCAGCTAGCTGATAATATAGCATTCGACTTCTTCACTGCCTGCTGCACTGCATGTTTACTTTCAGTTACTGGTGTACAAGGGCACCCAGGTCTAGTTGCACCTCTCCCTTTCCAAATCTATCACCAGTCTGCCTTCCTGTTATTACTGTGCATTTGCCCAATCACTCAACTTGTCCAAATCACACTGAAGTATTTTTGTGATAGTTCACCCTCCCCCAGATTATATAGTTTCCTTATCTAAACCATTAATGGGGCATCACAGTAGCTCAGTGGTTAGTATTGCTGCCTCTCAGCTCCAGGGACCTGAGTTCGATTCCAGCCTTGGGCGACTTAGGGCTGGATGAACACAGCAGGCCAAGCAGCATCATAGGAGCAGAGAGGCTGACGTTTCGGGCCTAGACCCTTCATCAGAAAAGGGGGAGGGGAAGGGGGTT